GGCAAAGGAAACACAGAAGCACACTTGCGCTGCAAGGACACACAATGCGCGCAGTCAGCAGCTGGAGTGCTCGCCCCTCAGAGACGTCGTGAGCCCAGGTGCAGCAAGCTGGGTGGCGGGATGAGGGAGGGTCTCCACTAGAAGTCGTGCACTGCTAAAATCCTAGTGCCTGATCAGGTATTGCCTGGCCCCTCTGATAGTTTGAAGTTAGAAACAGGAGGCAAACTATGGAAAACAGTATGGAAGAAACTCAAAAAATTAAAAATAGAACTACCACATGATCCAGCAATTCCACTTCTGGAAATAGAGCCAAAGGAAACAAAAACACTAACTTGAAAAGATATAGGTACCCCCGTGTCATTGCAGCATTATTTACAATAGCCGAGACATGGAAACAAACTAAATGTCCATTGATGAATGAATGAATAAATAAGTTGTGGTATCTATATATAATGGAATATTATTCAGCCATAATAATGAGGAAATCCTACCATGTGTGACAACATAGATGGACCTTGAGACATTAGGATAAATAAGTCAGACAGAGAAAGACAGATACGATATGGTCTTATATGTGAAACTTGAAAGAAAGAGAGAGAAGGAAGGAAGGAAGGAAGGAAGGAAGGAAGGAAGGAAGGAAGGAAGGAAGGAAGGAAGGAAGGAAAAAAGATAAGATCTGTAGTTCCTACAGGTAGTGGGTGGGGGAGGAGGAATTGGCGGAAGGTAGTCACAGGTCTGAACGGCCAGTTGTCAGATAAATAAGTACAAGGGGTGTGATGTACGACATGATCACTATAGTTAACACTGCTGTGTAATGTATAGGAAAGTTGTTAAGAGAATAGATCCTAAGAGCTCTCATTGTAGGAAGAATCTTTTTCTTTTCTTTGTACTGTATCTGTATGAGTTGATGGATGTTAACCAACCTATTACGGTAATCATTTCACAACACGTGTAAATCAAACCGTTATGCTGTATACCTCAACCTTATACAGTGACTTCTGTCATTTATTTCTCAATAAAACTGGAATTAAAAAGGGAGGCTGGGCAGCAGGTCATGGGGCTGATGCAGCCCCAGGGGAGTACCCAGTTGGGACAGCCTGGTGGGTTCTGCCGGTTCCACGGCCCCCTCTCTGGACCCTCACCTCCACTACAGTTGCCCAGTAATCCACAGCTTGGCCCTGCCTATTGCATCGCCCCCCACCCCAGGTCCGCAGTCCAGGTGCGGACCCTCCAAGTGACCCGGCCTTGGTCACAGACCCTCCCTGAGGAAGAGGGACTGCTGTATTTTTGTTAAAAGCCATGTCTATTTACTCATTAAATTGTATGCCTGTTTAAAAAGCGATGAAAATTTATCTATTTCTTACCTTGATATGGATAATGTTTTAAAAAATATTTTTGAAATACAATTTAAAACAAATTCTCACAGTATAGGAGCAAAATACTGGACCCACCAAATGCTATCAACAACAGAATGCAATGCAGCATTAAAAATGAATGAACTACGGCTGATACACCCATGTGGATAAATCTTAAAAACCAAATATTAAGCAGAAAAGTGACAAAACAAATATAATGTGTGATTCCATTTACACAAACAACAACACTAAAGTACAGTCAAACAACACGCATCCAACTGCCCAGATCCTTGTATATTCAGATTTATCGATATATTAAAATTCTTTGAGATTGCCTTACTACCATAAAGCAATCATATTGCTGCTTCTTCATTACCAATGCATGCATCGTTTTACCTGTAAATAAATGTGGATTTCTTTTCACATCACCTTTCCATTTGTGATACCTGGTGTTAGTAATGCACGTAACACCTACAGCGGTCGGCGTCGTACAAGACAATACTGATGTCAGTACAGACCGACAAGTCATCCTGTAAACTGACGAGGTAAATGGATGGTGTCAATAAATATACACAACACTGTAAGTGTATTTTCTCTTCCTTATGATTTTCTTAACAATTTTCTTGTAGCTTAATTTATGGTTAAAATGCAGTGTGTAGGACATACAACGTACGAGGCAAAGTGTTCGCTGACTGTTTATGTCCCCGGTGAGGCCTCCGGCCCACAGCAGCAGCTCAGCGCGGTCTCCCTGACGTGGGCGCAGGACGCGGCTGTGGAAGGAGGAGTGGGAAAGGAGGAAGGAAAGGAACCCACCACCCCACCCGCCAAGAAAGGGAGAAAACTACACACAAATGAGCACATATATATCCATATTTTTGCAGCTATTAAATTTATATTTGGAGGAGGTCAGAAGTCAAAAAACATTAAATTAATAGTGGGTTTTTTTTTCCCCAAGGCGTCCCATGGTCCTGCAGCCTGGACCTCAGAACTGAGACAGAAGCAGCAGTTTTGGAAAGTCTCTGCCTGCAGGAGAATGATGACAAGATCTGCCCTCACAGAGACACAGCCTTGAGCAAACACCCTCAGCAACTGGTTGGCCTCCATCCCAGTGACTGATGACCAAGTGGTGAGGCCAAAGCCACAACCGAAACCAAAATGGAAGCAACCCCACCCCGGGCTCACCCCTGACTCCCAAACCCTTCAGAAGTCCGGCTTCTGAATTCAGCTTCAAGCCCTCTCCCTTTTCTCGGACACCCTGTAGTGTATGGCAAGAACATGGGTGTCAGGGGCCACACAAGCGGGGTCTAGGCCTCCCCTGCTTCTCTCCACCTGTGTGTGTGCCCTTGGGCGAATTCCGTATCCTCTCTGAGCCTCTGCTTCTTCCTCCACAAGATGGAAAGGTTGCTGATTCTCAGGGATGTTGTCAGAATTAGATTACACGTACATACAAAATATTTACAACACAGTTGACACTTACTAAAAAATTGTTGATTCCCTTGTGATCATGAATGTTGTCATTATCTTTGGGACAGCCTCCGGGACTGGCCCAAAGGGCGGGTCAGGATGTGTGAGTTGTCTGGAGATCAAAGCAGCATCAGGGGTTTGCCAGCTTGCGCATGACCTCTCAGAATAACCTGGATTTCCATCAAGTGCTCATGGGAATGTCAACTGGTACAAACACCGGGGAAGTCGCGAGGTGGAAACACAGAAACTGACTTAAGAATGGGGCTGGAGTTCATAACGGTGCAGAAGGAATGGGGGCCGGGAAAGCCTCAGCCCCCCTAGGATGAAGGGAAACTGGTCCTTCCGGCCACCCCAGGCCTGGGGATCTGACCTAAGGGACTTGTGCTCCAACACGCCCACTTCAGATTTATTTAAACAGCTTAGAAGTGGAAACAACTTGAATATCCAAAAAAAAAAATAGGCTCATTCGTTGAACAAATCAGACATATACTTTTGACAAGATGTAACGTAGCCATTTAAAATGATTCTTACATATCTGATTGGTGTGGCTCAGTAGGTCAGGCGTTGTTCCATGGACTGAAATGTCACTGGTTTGATTCCTGGTCAGGGTACATGCCTGGGCTGTGGGCCAAGTTGCCAGTCAGGGGTGTGTAAGAGGCAACCAATCAATGCTTCTCTTGCACATCGATGATTCTCTCCCTATCTTCCTCCCCTGGTGGACCTGGTGGAATAGTTAGTGGGAAAGTGAGGGTGCTTTGGCTTCTGGCACCTCGTCCCCCTGTGTCCACACCCTCCTGCCCTCAGCCTCTTATCTTGACCTTCACTGCCATAATCCCCCCTCTCCTCTGGTGGAAGCTGATGAGGCGGAGAAGCCCTTCCCTGAACATTCATGGAAACAGAAGGGGACTTCAAGTGCATCTCATCCTCAGCCACAGTTTCATAGAGGAGAAAAGGGAGATTATTTTATGGAACCCCTCCAACTGTGCCCAGAGCTTTTCAGTCACAGAGGACCAAGGTTGTAACAAATGCTGGCCCTGATCCTTGAGCCTCGGGTCCCTCCCAGCTACCCCCGAACATCCGATTCCAGGCCGGTGCCCATGGAAGTGGGGAGGAGGAGGTGACCTCACAGGGCCTAGTAGTTCTGATGCCTTTGACCTTCCCCCACGTGTCCTAGCACTGCCCAGCCCCCTCACCTTCCACCCTCACTGCACTCTTCGTGACTGAATGACTTCATGCAAATTGCATGTATTTGTTCACCTCTAATCACGTCCTAGGATCTCATGCCCTCTTGATGGCAGGTAAAGGGGCAGAGAAGATGCCTCCTAATGACCTGGAAAATCAAGTTTCTACCTCTCCCAAGCTAAAGCCAATCTGCACTAGATCTAGTCGTGTCGGAACCGGGCATCAGCCAACAGCCTGCCCACTGGGTCATTTCCCCCGGTCTCTTGAGGCATCGTGAGTCACTCTCAGGGGCTGGGTTAGCCCAGAATGAGTCAGTGTCTCCTCTTTGCGTACATACTTATTATTTTTTTTCTTCAGAAAAAAAAGGCTTTTTTTATAGCTACACATGGGCTGGTCACTGCAATTTGAAAAGCACTGACAAAAATGCTCCTTCTCCAAAACACATCACCAGCCTCGCATGGTGTCTAAAAACCCACCATTTTAGATATTTCTTGGAGCAGTGACCCCTCACAGAGCACTCGAAGAGGGCAGAGCTGCATCGTCCTAAGCAACAGTGCATCCCAGTGGTTAAACATCCAGCTTCTGCACTGAGCTCCACTTCTGGTAAGGTGAGTAAACTCTTCCTGTACTGACCTCCCTAAAGGGAAGAGCTATAAATTCTGGAGCCAGAAAAAAAATCCTGTGTAAAGGCCCTGGAGATGATACAAAAGGCAGGCAGATTCTAGGGACGGTGATCCTTGGGAGAAGGGTGAGTCTCCTGGCTTTTCACGTTTAGCCTGGAGGGTGAGCTGCAGTCAGGGGGTAGCTAAGACTCACAGGGAACCCCCTAGCTTTCTTTCCTAAAAATTTTATTTTTCAACAATAGTTTACATTGAATCTTATTTTCTATTAGTTTTTGGTGAACAACATAGCGGTTAGACAATCGCGCACTTTCCAAAGTGTTTCCTCCCCGCCAACGTGTCCACGTCCACGTTGTTTTGCTCACATGGCTCTTGGCAGGGGGCTCGGGTTGTCACTGGCTGTTAGCAAGAGGATTCAGCTCTTTCACAGGGACCTTTCCATAGTTGTGCTCGAGTGTCCTCACGCTGGGGAGCTGGTTTCCTCCCTACTGGGGGATCCAAGAGAGAGAGAAGGGAAAGGCCACACGCTGTCACCTTTGCCACATTCTATTCACGCGCACGGAGTCAGTAATCCAGCTGCAGAGGAATCAGACTCCGCCTTTTGAAGGGAGGAATATGTTTGTGGAGATACATTAAAATCTGCTCTGCCTGGTGTGGCTCACTGGATTGAGTGCCAGCATTGCAAACGAAAGGTTGCTGGTTCGATTCCCAGTCAGGGCACATGCCTGGGTTGCAGGCCAGGTCCTGGGTAGGGAGTGTACAAGAGACAACCACACTTTGAAGTTACTCTCCCTCCCTTCCCCTCTCTCTAAAAATAAAATAATAGCCCTGGCTGGCATAGCTCAGTGGATTGAGCTCGGGCTGAGAACCAAAGCATCGCAGATTCGATTCCCAGTTAGGGCACATGCCTGGGTTGCAGGCCACGGCCCCCAGCAACCGCACATTGATGTTTCTCTCTCTCTCTTTCTCCCTCCCTTCCCTCTCTAAAAATAAATAAATAAAATCTTTAAAAAATCTTAAAAAATAAAATTAAATTAAAATTAAATAAAATAATTAAAATAAAATAAAATCATCACAACTCCCCAGAAGCAATCGCCTTTAATAGATTCTTCTGAGTCTTTCCAGAAATTAGCTAGGCATACACAAAGCTGTCAGCCTTTTTTCCTTTGAGCATAGGTGAAATCTTTCTCTGTGTAGTATTCTTCATCTTACTTTTCCATTCAATAATAAATCTTGAAAATCCTTCTAAATCAGCACCTGTAGATCTATCCTACTCTGTTTAGTAGAGTCAAGTAGCCCATCGTGTGGATGTCTGAAACACTTAACCAGACCATTTTAATGGTCACGTAGGTTGTTTACTACACCAACCAATGCTGCAAAGAAGATTCTACTGTGAATATTTCTGCCAACCCATATGAGGACATCGAGAGAATACAGTCCTTGGAGTAGAAGTGTTGGGCGAGAGGGCGTACATTTGCAGCCTTAGCTGATTATGTCCGATTGTCCTCCAAATGATGGCTGCTTGATAAATCCCCTGTATTACTGACAGCCGATTTCCCTACCGCCAGCAACACAGGTTTTAATCTAGCTTTGAGATGTTTGCCAACCTGAGAGGTGAGACATGGTATTTACTTGTTGATTTAACTTGCTCTTCTTTAATTAACATTAAGTAAGTTTATCAGCCATTTTCATGTCTTATCTACAAATTATCCTACATCTTATTAACGTGTGAAACAAATGGAACTAGTCTCTATCTACCGTATGTGCTGCAAATGTTTTTTCCTCACCTTGTCATTTGCCCTTTTTTGAAAAGATTTTATTTATTAGCTGGAGGGAGGGGGGTTCCATTTTTTTTAAATTTTTAAATAGTCAAGTTTAAAGTAAAAATCTTAAGAGGTCAAATTTATCAAAATTTTATTTTATGGTTTCTGGGTTTTTTTCAAAGTTTGAAAGAGCTCCATGATTCATTATAAAAATCACCCACGTTTTCTTCTAGCATTTTTTGTAATTCAAATGACTGATTTTCCCAGCATCAATTATTAAAGAACTACTGTCTCTCCAGCGATTTGAAATGCCATTTAATTTTATATGCCATGTCCCCTCTGCCTTGTGTCATCCCCCTGCAGCATCGCTCTGAGGAAGGCAGCTTTGAAGCACAGAGAGAAGAGTGGTCTGCAGCTTCAGAGTTCAAGGCCAGGGAGGGGGCACGGCTGTGGGGCACCGGGGGTGCAGCCCGAGCAGCTGGGGAGGGGGGACAGGAGGATGGAGGAGGACCTGGGAAACCGCCGGGAGTGCAGAAAGGAGACAGACCTCTGAAAGCGATTATGTTGCCTCCCAGAACCAATCAAACTAAGAAGGAACACTCGTCCGGGTCCTCAGAAGACCTGCTTTAATTATCAGAAGACAGGTTTGTTCATTAGTTTGCCAAACGTTCTAAAGTGCTTGAAATTATTTGATCTCTCCAAAATATCTGTTTTCCATGATTACCTTTCAGCTAACTCTTGAACTTATACTGGTTTTTTTTTATCAGAACCTGAATCTGAATCTCTCCACACAAGTGGGACCCAAAAATAAAACGATGGTGTGGCACCTCTCCGAAGACCCGTTGCATTCCTATCAGGAGGCATTATCCCCCGTCAGCCTTGCCCTGCCGTCCTCACCGCAACAGTGCGAGGAGGCCACCGTTACCCACGCTGTACGTAGAAAATAAGTAGTTGCCCAAAGTCACGGTCTAGTCAGTGACGGAGCTGGGACTGCAGAAGCCAAGCCCTCGCCAGGACGCCACTCCGCCTTTCCCGTGTGATCGCTGAGGGCGGGGGGAATGACACAGAGAGCTGAAAATAAATGGGTTTTCCGGAGAAGAGGAAACGGAAAGAAGACACGGAAAGGGACAACCAGTCCCTCACCTTCATTCAAACTAGCAAGAGGACATGACCTCATTAACCCAGACAGGATGACTTAGGAAACCCGAGCTTTCTGTCCCTCTTCGCAGCGTAAGTGTGGTGTGAGCGGGTGTCGCCACTGGCCCACACCCTTGCTCTAGCCCCTCGTGCTCTTGGGTCAGGGAACGCCCTCCTCTCTGGAAGTCCCTAGGCAGGGACATGATTTGACTTCCTGGCTTCCTGGTCACATAAACCTTGCAGTTGGCCCCCTGAACTGGGACACCACCCAGCTGGGGGTAGGCAGGGAATCAGCAGGTGCTAAGGAGGGAGACAATCATATCTGCCTGTGATCCTGTTACTGGAAATTTACCCCCAAGGTTCCTTCTGCCCTTTCCCCTCGCCGCTCTTTTCCCCTGCGACTGTCCTGAAGGTTTCATCCTCAGTTCCACCGACCCAGGCCGGTGGGAGGTTCATGTTCACCAGATTAAACCAGACTATTCGTGTTGGGTGGCAGAGAGGGACCCTAAAGCTCCCCAGAAACAATCCCAGTTTCATGTTCCAACTCTTTCTTCCCTTCCCCCAGACATTCGGACAGGCTGACCGCATACAGGCGTGCAGGTTGTACCGGCACAGACAGACAGAGTATAAAAAGCACAATGGCCCCTCACTCACATGCTCTCACCTGTCCTCAACTATGAGGACATCGGCATCAGCCTACAGCTCACCCTCAGAGCCCTGTGCTCTACACCCTGCTCTGACTGAAAGCAGGTGAAGGGACTAGTCCAAGAACATACTTGAAGGACACGTGGACATGGACACCAGTGTGAGAGTGGACTATGGAAATGGGGGTGGGCTGAGTGGATGGGGGATAAAAGGGTGAAAATGGGACAACTGGAAAAGCACAAACAATAAAACATTTAAAAAAAAAGACTCAGGGGACTAGGACAACACCCAGGTGCTGGACAGGGGAGGATGGGACAGAAGGGCAATACGGCAGGTAGGTGGCTTACAGGGGCGTCAGGTCACCACTGAAGGGAGAAAGTGGCCAAGAAACTGCTCTACAGTCAGGCCAACAGCTCAAAGTTCGAGCATCAGCCCTCGTGCCCTGTATGTCCCTGACCAGGAACTGGAGACCCGCCCCCACGCCTGAGGAGCAGCAGCCCCCGATGGCCTGCTTGGCCTGCCTGGTGAAACGTCTGTGCCATTCACCTATCCTCCCTCAAGACCGCTTGCCATCAACCAAGGCATTTTCTCAACCACTGAGATTTTGCTTCCCAGCAATTATCCTCAGTTTGGCCCAAACAAACTCATAAAAATTCTCTGCGTGTTTGGATGTTTCTCATGTCAACATTCACTCAGTGTAATGCAGTGGGATTCCAAACAAGCCCACCCAAGACCACCTTGCAGGCCTGGACCAGGGCTAGGTACCAGCAGGGGCTCACTGGGCCCCGCCGGCTCTTCGCTTTGCATCTGGTGAACTTGGGTGAGCTTTGCTTGGAATTCCAGACCTCCCTGTTTTAAGGTAAAAGGCCTTGACTTTATCTTAGTTGTTAAAAAAAAAATACTCGAGGTGGAACTAAAGGTGAAGGGTTGAGAAAACCCAGGCTAAGGATAGGAGTTAACTCAGGACAGAAGAAGCAAAATGGATGGCTGGTTTTTAACTTGGCTTTTCAATTGGAATTGCTCACTTAGAGTCTGAATAAAGCCTTTTGCTGGATAAATGAGAGTCTGAACTCATTCAGCTCCAAGGATAAGGGGCACTTACTCCCTCTAGCTTGAATTTTGGGTATTGCTAGGGGACTGAGAACCTATGTGGAGGTGTCAGAGGATATCCCTCATGACATGCAGGACCCACATAGGGAGCTTCAACTCAACTACAGTGAAATAACTGGCTTGTCCGAGGAGCACACATAAAGGCTGGTTACCTAGTGCTCCAGCTGTATTAGACAGCGGCGGGGAACCAAGACACTAAGAGTAGAGATGACTCAGGAGGTGACAGCCCTCGGACCTCAACCCATAAGCAGCACTTCAACCTGCTAGACAGTATCCCTAGAAATTTTGCTGAGACTCTGCAGAACTCAAACCTAAAATTAACATGGGAAATGTGCCTCCAAAGCCCAAAACTCCCGACCGCCAGCCCCCATTAATACTCTTGCAGATACACAGTTAATAGGAAGCCTTTACTTGCAAGTACTTACAGAAATGGGAAGATTTAACTGGAGGGGATGTCTGCTTACAATGGCCAAAATGGAACCCTTTGGATGCATAAATTAATTTTTTTTTGCATGCCCAACTTAGAGAAAGCCAGCTCTAAAATTGCCAGCTCTAAAACTACATGAATAAGAAGTATATCTTATTTGGCAATCAGAAGCTTCTGAGACTCAGATAAATTATTTCCTCCACAAAAAGTCAATAAGAAAATTTTATAGACTCTCTGAATTATAAAGAAGGCTTCTGAAGCTAGTAAGAGCCAACACCTCATCCCCTCCCCTTTAACAGCTTCTCCACTATATCCTTTGCTCTCAGTGCTTCCTTGCCAAGACCTACCCTCTCCCTCCCTTGCCCCACCCCCTTTTATCTCCTCTATATCTCCTCCGCTGCCACTT